AGCCCAGCATGGAGCATTTATACCTTTTAGCAGCTAGTCGCTGTAACGACGCTTTTTGTCTCTCCTTTCGAAGCCGTAACTAAGGTAATAGAACTAACAAACATTAACTTAACTTTCTAAGGTAATATTAAACTAACAATCTAAGTAAAGAACTAACAAACCTTTAACTTAACTTCTAAGGTAATTAGAAACTAACAAACTTATACTTTAACTTCTAAGGTAATAGAACTAACAAACTTAACTTAACTTCTAAGGTAATAGAACTAACAAAAATAGCCGACAATAGACCTTTCAGCAGTATCAGTAGTCCGTGTACGACGCTTTTGTCTCTCCTTCGAAGGCCTAAACTAAGCCGGTAATAGTAACTAAACAACTTAACTTACTTCTAACGGTATAGATTATTAACAAACTTAACTGTAACTTCTAAGGCTAATAGAACTACAAAAATAGTCGAACAGCAGAAATAGCGGTCAAAATGCCAAATTCAAATGGCAAATCAAGTCGGATGCCGTATGGTATGGATGGACGTGTATGCGAATGAATTTTTAGCAGGAGCATATATAAGCCCGCCACCTCGCGGGACATTTTCTTAAAATAATAAATAATTTTAATTTGTAAATTTTAATACTTTTATTTTTGCTATTTTTTTTTTTTTGCGGACCTTGTTTTTTGGCATCGCGGAGCATGCTGATAAGAATATATATGATTTGGGCGCTGTGAGCTTCTTACGGGCGGGTGGCAGCGGAGATAGTCAGAAGGACAGCATTGACCATATAAGCAGAGAGCGAATATATGCGCACCTCGCGGACATTTCTTTAAAATAATAAATACTTTTTATTGTAATTTTAAACTTTTTTATTTTGTGTATTTGTTTTTTTTTGGAACTTGCTATTAGGCATTCGCGACATCGCTGATTTAAGCAATATATATGCGTGCTTGGGGGTGAGCTCTTACGGGGGGGCAAAGATAGTGCAGAAGGACAGACACAAAAACAGGCCTCGCCTTTATATAAGAGATTGGGGTGTGACTCTTACGGGGGGGAAAAAGATAGTCAGAAGGACAGACACAAAAAAACAGGCTCGCCACTTTATATAAGCAGATAATTTTACCCAATCTCTCGCTTCATTTTTATTTCTTCCTTTTTTGTTACTCATTTCCCTTATATTCTTAAATTTATTAGTTTTTTTTATAAATAACTCTACTCTTATTTCCTTTTATTTAATTCTACTAATTATTATTTTAATATATTCATTTCTTTAATTTAATTTTAACTTTTTTTTTATTTTGTGTATTTTTTTTTTTTTGACCTTGCCTTTAGCCATCGCTGGACATGCGTATAAGAAATATATATGGTGTTAGGCGGCGTGAGCCTCTTACGGGCGTGGAGAAAGATAGTCAGAAGGACAGACACAAAACAGGCTCGCCCTTTATATAAGAGATTATGCACATAATAATTATACTCAATGAGAACCTATGTCTACACAAGCGATTTTTTATATTCAAATAAAACAATTATTTTGTAACACTTAAACGTATTCTTTGCCGGTTTTTATTGTTCATATAGCTATTAAAATTTAGCATAATAACGAATAGACTTAATTATAGTAATTATGTCACACGCAAATTATAGGCGTTTATCTTCTCTTTCTAATGCCAATGAGATTGAGAACAGAACAAAACAATTTTATAGCTTAATTATATTACCCCACCACAATTCTACTTTCTCTTCTAAATTAACTTCATTTTTGAAATAGTACAATTACGAATTAGACATCAATTATTACAGCTTCCTCGAGCAGAGGTAAAAAATTGATGAACGCTTAAATAATACAGAATTTACGATAGAGATGGCACCCAAAAACGCTGTTGGCAATGGACAAAAATGCGCGAGAGAGAAATTGTTGCATTTTTACAAATGTCATCTTAAAAGAGGGTACCAAATGATGAGGTAACCTGTATAATCTGAATTAAAATACTTAGCGTAAAGGTTATGTGTCATTTTGAGGAGGAGAATTAACTAATAGTTATGCTAACGAATTAAAAATGTGACGGCTGCACATGGATTAGCAAAATAAAAATAAACGAGAATATTCACGCAGTTGGAAAAAACTAGACGCGTCCTAGGTCTACGTATGCAAAACTGCGACTGTGGGCGTTCTCTGCTCCTTTTACTCTTTAGCCAGCAAACTTATCTACTGTCTCTGACTTTAATTGTAACTTGTTAATAGTCTTTTAGTGATTTCCTGTGCTGAAATCGCAGAGTCTACCATTATTAATTACTGTCTGATAACTAGGCCTATGCCTTTCATTCAATTAAAAAACAATTAACCAGCACCAATATGGCAATAACATTTAAGTTTTACTTGCTAAACATCTGTCAGTTGCCCAGCAACCTCTTTGTAAAATCACTAATCATGGTTTTCTCTGCAGTTACAGGTCGTTGCCCTCTATTACAATATTAATAAGGTTAACTGACATAGCCTTTGTTTCACAGCGACAGGCAGTGTGTGTAAATTCGCTTCTTAACTCCAGGTGGGCCCTAGTCCGCAAATGCAGACGTAAACTCCGCTTTGCTAATCTGAGGGTGCGGGTTTATCGTCTGCAGTCACCCTTGCTAAAAAATTGTTTGCAAGTTTTGTTGCGGGCATTGATAGGTTGAATCTAGTAGCACTGAGGGCGTGACGGGGGTATATCCGACCCAAAATATCAAAGTACAGACCTTCTGTTTGTCAATTATCGCTTTCGAGACTTTATTTCCGTTTCAGACCTTTGTTTTCATGCAATAATTCATCCTAGTCAGAGTAACTTCGATATTTTGGCCATATTTGACAGATTTTCGATCGACCAATGAAATTCACTTCCGGTAGCCTCGCGGTTCACTCCGGGAATAATAATTCAAAATAATAATAGATGGCACGCGACCATGTGACCATACCATGTTTCCTGTTGAACATCGGGAATAGCCGAAGTAACCGGAAGTGATTTTCATTGGTTGACAAATGTGAATGAAGACAGAACATTTTCTTTGGATGTTTATATTTACCATTAGGTAAACAACTTGATATATTCTTATGTTGTGGCCGCTACCAGGTCATCATAGCGTGCATGCACGTAGATAAATGATTCAAGTTCAGATTAAAGTAAGTTCTACGCAATAGGATTGTATATATCGCGGCCGATATATTACTTATAAGTGCCACCTCCAAACTGGAGGTGGCTTTCCGTGATTGAGATAGACGCGGCCGCTGACCCCATTACTGGAACGGACCACCATATCGGCTCGGACTAGGTGGCCCTCTGTTCAATGTCCCGTGACTTGAGTGAGAAGTTGCCATTACGCATAGTAATTATTATATCATCAAATGATCATGTTTACTTCACAAGTTCCTCGCTGATTATACAGGGATGAGATTCTTCCGCGGATCCGCGGAAATCCGCGGATTTTACAGTCCCAGGGGTCGATTTTCTGAAACGTTCTAAATTCGTTGAGAAAATGCGGAAGGGGTAACAATGTAACAATTTAAATTATATACCCTCAATAGCACCTGACTGTAGACTGTAGAGTGCTAGACAGTAGGCTGACAGCGAAGTATACAGTGTATCTGTTTTTGCGTACCAGAAAAGGAAATCCTCGTTCACAGCTGCAGTAGAGGGGCAAACATTTGAGGTAGCTGATCACGTAACGACGATGCCTGGCCTGGGGCCGGGTTTACATGTTGCTGCGTGCATGTTCTGTGCCCATGACTATGCACTGATTGTTCAATTCGCATTGTGTTTTTTTCATTCAAATCTGGTCGCAGCAAGGCAGCTTATGTCTGAGTAAAACAATGCAAGCGACGGGTGGAAACATAAAAATATCATTATGTCTAGACATTTAATAACAAAACTTGCCCTATTTTCAGCCCCCTCCCCCCCAATTTGCTATTATAGTTCGTTTGTTCCTTTTGACAACTTGAAAAGGTGATTCAAGAGTCTCCTATAATTTGTTCAGAATAGCTTAGAATGCACCAAATTGCACCATTCTTTTAAAAAAATGACCTACGGTCCTCGCATTGCTCGCTCCTCTGTTTGCTAATTAAAATGTCAGCTGAAAATTAAATTATCTAATCTCATCCCTGATTATAGCTAAGTTGCATTATGCATATCCGTGAATTTGCAGACGTCGTGATAACTAGGCCTAGGCCAAGCTTAAGTAATAGGTAGATATTGTTTATTCAGTGCTGGGTTTACATACAATGATACATGGCAAAAGTTTGTTAGATAATCCGTATGAATCTCAATAGTATATCAACACTGTGCATCTATAAATAGCACTAATGACCCCCTAGCAAGGCGAAAAATTAGTACCGGCCCACCGGCATGCCCTCCGAGCCTGTGGTTTCAGCCGTGTTAGTGAGTATCCACATTTTTATTTATAGCCTACATTATTTATAGCAAATAGCTTACATTGCTGTTTTACTTGAAGGATATCACGCCATAACTTATCAACATTTTACAAATTTTAAATCGAGAATGCAAGTGTGAAACATGACATTGATTTTACAAACAAATTTGTGAGGGCTGGTAAATTATGGTGAGGGCTGGTAAAAATTACTGGGTTACCAGCCCTCTGGGCCGGTCGGTGCAAAAAATCTGAATTTCGTGCCCTGCATGCATAGAATTGTGCACATTGAATAATAATTAATTCTATAATAGTTAGTTAGAGCATGTCAAGTGGCTTTTAATGTGAATGCATTGCAATTTGTAACTAGTTGATTTCATTAGGCCAGATGATGTTTTATAAAAACACATTTAAATTAGTATGAGGAGTATAAGTACCTGACACTAAAAGTTTTTCCATTGTGCAAAATTGTCGATATGATTTCCAATCCATGTTGTAATTACTTGTACATGTATGTGTGTTTGTGTGTAGATGTTGATCACAGACATGAACAGACTCCGAAGAAGCAGCCTCGGAAAAATCACAAGTTGTATTTTGAGCCATCTGTGTTTTATTCTAGGCCACCAGGTGGCGAGTCGGGTAAAGATGGGTCGATGTACAGTAAACATGCTACTTTACTGCCAATCTCGACCAGGGCGGCCCCGCTTTGGACTAGACAGATGATGGCTTATTCAGGACATGGCTTTCCTAGCAGTGATATGTATCAGGTATATTTCGATCATGTACTAACTATTGCACAGTTTCAGAGATGTGCAATACATAAATTGTTGTTTGAAACGGTTCATTCACTGCCAAATCTAATGATCAGAAATGTTGTTTTATGGTATATATCCGGATACTTCCCACACATTCGAGGTTGCATTTAACGTATGTTAACTCGTGTCTTGAATATTACAGCTGTGATCTTATAAATTACAGCTATCCATCTTATGCATGCCAGCTTACATCTTACGCGATGTAACCATTCTCTCGGGAACGTTGTTGTCTGCACACGTTACCCTTTCTGTTAGCAGGGAGACCGGAGAGCGGAGGGTGGTGGCCGCGAAGATACGCGGGGCGATCCTACACCACCGCAGTTCATGCAACTGCACCGCAGACAGAGGCTTACGATGTTGCCTGAGCAGTATCACCACCAGAGCCAGGCAGCAGCAAGTGCCGACAGGTATGCTGCAATCTCGATCACTTCCCGCTTGCCGTTACACTGACAGTGATTTAATTGTTGCGTTTGAATAGTCGGTGCATCGCTTTTGGGCTGAGATAGCTCGACTCTTTGTTAACCCAAAGTGAAATGAGTACCATGTTTGTATTCATAACTTTGAAGTCATATTCCAGGTCATTCTAATTGATTTTTTCTTACCTAAAATTTGATTTCATGAAGCTCAAGCTATTTCTAGTCATGCCAAGTTCATTTCATCCAATCGCAACTGTCATTACACGACTAATCCAAGCTTTCCATCTTCCCTGCGATAACAGGGACGCGCTGTACCGGTACGGAGGCCACTACGATCAGCAACCGCAGCAGCAACATCAGCAGCAGCAACAACAGCAGCAGCAACAGCAGCAGCAGGAGAGTAGCGGTGCGAGCGGTCACATGTACACGCCGAGCCAGCCGGAGTACAAGCGACCGCGGCTGTCCGTTGAGCAGCCGCGCACGGACTACAGCCAGCCACTGCGCATCGAGACGCATGACGCCGTCGAAGTGAAGAAGGTGACGCGTTTCTCCAGTGAAAAAAATACACGAGGGCTCGGGGCGATTTAGCTCCCGAAATGCCAAAAAGAGCCCCGGAAATGCCAAAAAGAGCCCACGTAAATTTGCATAGAGTTCAATGCAAACCAAATTTTAGAGTGCTATTTTTATGCACGCGAGCTTGAAAAGTAGCCCCCGAAAAATAAATTATATTTTTTTCCCTGCGTTTCTCTCTCGACCGATCCGCTCCCACGGCGAAACATCGCACGTGCACCGATGTGCATTTTTGCATGTTATTTCTACTCGCATGCGGTTTCGCACCACGTTTAGTCAACCGTGCGACTGTATAAATATATATAAAATATAAATGTGATATTATCAGGAGTGTATCAAACGGAGTGAGACAGACTGAAACCGGCAAAATTCAACATTTAGTAGCCTTAGTCTACCTATGATTTATTGTGTTTACCTCGATAAACTTGAGCTCAAGTCTTGCCTTAATCATTAAACTTTATCCGTGTCTAATCGTTGGTCTCACAAAAATGACAAATCGGG